CAGAGTGGAGCGATGGCCTTCATCATCACCTGGTTTCTCTCTTTGAAATGTGTGACTGAGTGTGGATCGCTCCACCTCTGTCCTCAGAAGTCTGCGTCCAGCCTGAAGGTGTTGTCTGTGGGGCCCGACATGACGCCCATCCTCTGGTACTCGCCCACTCGCTTCTCAAAGAAGTTGGTCTTTCCCTCCAGGGAGATGTTCTCCATAAAGTCGAAGGGGTTCTCCACCCGGTAGATCTGCAGAGACACGAGACAGAGCAGAGGTCAGTTTATTCTCTGGTGGACACATGAAAACGATCTGAAAATGAGTGTTCTGTCCGGAAGCCTGAGGGGTAAAGTTCCCCCTCAGAGTGAAGCTCTGACTTGCTTTGTATAACTATAAAGCAGTTGCACTATAGTGCACCTGGTCTACTGTCAGACGTGAACCGGAGCACTGCAGGACTTTTTTGAGGTCTGTTCAGTCTGGCGTCTGTTTCGTGTTGCTGTCGTCTGTCAGTGAACCACTTGTTCTCTGAGCAGAGTGTGCAGCAACACTCAGCCCCCATTACCGGCTGAGGTCCGTACCCCTGCGCCTCTCATCATCACAGACCTGATCCTCGTCTACAAACCTACACAGTACAGACCAGGATCAGGAGGCCGCTACAGCAGCTGCTCTGAGTTTAAACTCGGCCTACTTATCAGGTGAGTATAGGTGACCTAAACTAGGAAGAGTTAAAGTCATATTTCAATGAAATAACACCAGGGACCTCCGATTATAAAACTTTGTGCCAACAGCAGGAGAACAAATGACCAAACTTGTCTCTGACGCAGCACAAGTTACAGTGACTGTCTGTTAGAGTGGCAGCAAGTGTCAGAGTCAGATCTAAGCCTTCATCGTGTCTTATCAACAGTCTGATGAGGAACAGCAACGCTTGGAATGCTAGACTTAAAATATCACTTAAACCGGTCTAATTCACTTTTTGAATTGCTGAATTTTTGGATCCAGCAGACGCTGTGAATCATCATCACATGTTCAACCTGGCTGTGCTGGTTGGAAGCAGCTGATCAGCCTGCAGCCGTTTCTGGGACTAATTCAATCTACATGACAAACATTTAGAGGCCTGCATGTTCAAACCAGCTGAGCAGGAATAATGAAGACTTCATTCCAGGTATCACCTGGATCTACCAGGAGCTGCGGTTCAGCCGGGGTGTTGTTACCTTTGAGAAGCCGAGCTCCAGCATCAGTCTGTCAGCTACAAACTCGATGTACTGCTTCATCAGCTCACAGTTCATCCCGATCAGCTTCACGGGCAGAGCCTTCGTCAGAAAGTCCTGAGCATAAACAAAACAACAGTTCAACAAACCGAGTTAAAGCATCCACGGCCAGAAGAAGCCGATGAACCAGACAGAAACGTTCAGGATCTTCACATTCATCCGTTTGTGTCGCTGTCGACCGACCTGTTCGATCTCCACGGCGTTCTTGATGATGTTGGTGACTGTTTTTTCTGACGGCTTGTTCACCAGGTGTTTGAACATCAGACAGGCGAAGTCGCAGTGCAGACCCTGAAACCAGCACACAGTTAGACCACCACACTAAATTATACGAACAGGCAGATCCATACAGAAAACTCAAGACATTTGATTTGAGGCAAAAATCAAAGCTAAAACAAGGATTCAATTTTAATTTAACAAAACATTTCATGGTCAAACTGGCCAAAATATGAACGATATAATTATCTGCAGGTCTTAAAAGTCCTTAAAAAGCACTGAATGAAGTTTATTAAAAAGATCTTTGAAGGTATTGTAAGTCTTAAAATATTCTCTCTAATGGTGATAAAGTGTAAGTGCCAATGATGAAACGATTTGTCTGATTTCAGCAAAAACTGGCTGGAAATTCCCCAGACCTCTGACTTTATATATGACAAAAGGTGATGTAAATAAATTGTGGTCTTGCTGGTTCACACCTTTATACCAGTATAACCATCAAACAGGGTTTAAATTTCACTCTGGTTTTAAAAAAGTCTTAAACTTAATGAACCTGCAGAAACTGTCAATAAAGACCAGGAGGGACGATGAGGCCTCAAATTATTCACCAAGTCTAAGAATATCACATTTTTCCAGCACTTCCCAGATATAAAAACAATAATTGCTAAAGACATTATTGATTAATCATTAAACATGAGCTGGATAACAGCAGAAAAAGGAATAAAGAACAAATTTAGAGAAAACTAATGCAGCTGATGGATGGTCTCTTAAAA